TCTTGAAACGTCAGCCTGAATATACCTTGTTCTCAGAAATCGTCTCCTCTTCTTCCTCTTCCGGGGATGTTTCAAGGAATATTTTATCTGGACCTCGAATTTTCTCGCATATTAATTTCTGCATGAATTTCTAAAGCCCAGTGCGATTCGCCTTGTTGAATAATTTCGTCAGGTCCATGAAAGTAGTGCAGAGGTGGGATGCACATCTCTTGGCACTTCTCCTGCAGCTGTCGAGCAACGAATATTATGTCGTTGGTGCCGCAATGATGACGAATAACGCACAGACATTATTCGCAGGAGCTCTTGTTCTTGGTGGTTGTTAAGGCGGGTTGGGAGAAAACGAGTAAAGACTTTGCCGGCAATATTAAGCAGCAAGATTCCACGATGATTATCACGGAGTTGGTAGTTCTATTTTCCCTAGTAGAAGTGAACAATTGTGGCGTCAATAGAATTGAATATGCGAGTTTCATGAACCCGTTCAGAAGAAGAAGCGACCACTGAAACACGATTTTAATTGTACTGACGTTTCGGATTCCGTCGGGAATCCTTAATCATAAGTAATCGTAAGAGTCTGAAACATGCGCAGATAAGGGTTATACATACACTTATCTGCGCATGTCTCACACTCTTCTACGATTACTTATGATTAAGGATTCCCGACGGAATCCGAAGCGTAAGAACAATAAAATTCTTGTTCTTCTGAATTGAGGCATCATTGAAGTCCTGGGAGATCTGCTCTTACCGCCACATCTGGAATAGCGCGGCTATGTGGGGTGTGAGTTGGTGGCCGCAGTATTTTAGAATCTCCGCAGGGATCGCATCGGACTCGAGTGCTTTCCCACTGGAGAGCTGCTGCGCAGCCTTGGTAGTTTCCAGGGGGGGGGTGGATGGGATTTTGAGGTCAGTGTTTATTTCCATCTGAGGCAAACGGTCGATGGCGGCCTCGGAGATGGTTGAAAGACGGTTGAGTAAGCTTTGGAAGTGCTCAGCTCAGCAATCCAAAATCTGTGTCGTCTCAAAAGAATAGTAGTTCTATCAGCGCTGAGAAGAGGAACTGTACCTTTGACTATAGGACCATAGACCACTTTGTTCGCAGAGAAGTTCTTCCATTCATTATGCTCCACGTAACTTTGGATTTCCTCGCCCCTGCGAGTCATACAAGCATCCGCATTTCCCGCATCCGCTGTTGCACAAGACGGCGACTTTGGTAGAAGGCTGATTTTGTGGCATCGGTAAGGCGGTCAACGTAGGTTTTGAGCAGGCTATTCTTTTTGGCGAGCAAACTGCTGATAACTGTATCATTTTCGTCGAAGTAGTCCTAGTGTTGACGGCGGGAACTGCCAAGGACACGTTGGATGATGGACTGAACAGTGTCCCGTAGGTTATACCATCAACTCTCCACGGAGGTTTTCTCTTCTACAACTGGACGATTGTCTAGCCATTGAATCAGCTCAGTGCTTAAATACAAATGGCTAGCAGACGGATTTAAAAAAAGTATTCAGCATACCTGGGCGTCGCTCACCCTGGGGTCTGCTGCGTGATTGAAGGTGGACCGTCACACACATGAATATGTAGAGCAGATGCCGTCCCTTTCAGTCCGTATGAGTAATGAGCAGGGTCAATAAGCACCACGCCAGACAAACGTTTGTAATTCTCATAAGAAAAAGGGGTAAGAACCTATTCAGTAGGATCTACTAGCGATGTAAATATAAGCATATAATAAGTGTACAGCATATAACAAGAAAAAGCATGTTACGTGTCCAAATGTCCCATCTGGAGTGGAAGGGCTACACCGCCGTGTCCGTTTTACTACCGTTACGGAGCGCAGCGCAGAGGACAACTTCAGTGTGAGATGTGGAGTTTCTTCCAATGAGTGAAAGGACGCGAGACGATCTATGAAGACGATAATTGTGGGGCAGGAATAAGCGAATGAGAAAAAGGGCTCCTGTATCTTCCTCGGCACTCAACCACACCGAACCCATACTAAGCTCGGGCAAAAATGGAAGCTGTCGGTCCAATTAAACAACTTATTCAGTTTCGTTGTCCTTTACGCCACCGAAGTCTATGAGAACTTCGCTCGTTGGATAAGTATGTAGACCGAGTTAGCGGACGAAGTGATATATCAAAGTATTTGATTGTCTTCAGCTCATACAGCAAGCCCTGCTAGGAGGGCGGATTAAGGTCTTGAGTAGAAATCTCCGCAATTTCTATAGGTTCTGCCTCCGTTGGGAGGGAGGTAGGATTTCAGGAAGAACCTTATTTCAGCAACTACACGTCGTTTGCAATTCTTAGTCGTAGATTTGACTTATATTTGTTGGCACGCATAAATTCCATTGGCCAAAAGCGCCGATATAAAAGCTGCGATATGGAAGTGATTCGATGACTGTCGAGTAAGAGATCTCACAGGTCTCCCCGATTTAATTGGCTCCTAGCTGTCTGACCGCAGCCAGAAGTTCTTAGTAGACAATAACTACTCGACGCCTCAGCCGATCACGAGCAGCGTTTTTCGAGGCACGGTTCTTTACATAAAAGAAATTTCAGCAATACTCAAAACGCAGAAAATTTCGTTTATGCTGATGATCTTAAGTGTATTTACTCATTTTCTAAGAACACGGTCGATACTTGCGTTGATAAGATCAACGCAGACTTGCGCGTGCTCTCACGTTGGAGCGTTACCTGGCAGATTGCATTTTTCTCCATCCAAATGTATTTTCATCTCTTTTGGTCCCGCCAAGCTTCCTAGACCCCTCATTTTCCAAAATAATCCACTCTTAGAATAATCTCTGATAAAGAATTTAGGTCTAATTTACACGAATAAACTAGCATTATCGCTTCATGCGGATCAAATTTTTGCAAAGGGCGCACAAATATGTTCTTTCATATCACATAATTTCTTCCTGCCGGAAATAAAGTTAAAACTGTACCGCATGTTATTTCCCCCATACTAGAATGCTGCAGTCCACTTTTGGTCTTGTGAACGCGTCTGACCGCAGTAATATTGAAAAGGCTAAGAGAGTTTTCACTCGAAAACCATTTTCTCTTTCTGGATCCAGAATTTCTTGTATGGATAGATGTCAGTTAGCGAATGTCGAAACGTTAGGCGAATAAAAGTATTGTCCTAGCGATCAAATCGTCTTCTTCTCAATTAAATCCTGGGACTCGCATGTTCGCTTGTATTGTAAAGTTAGTGTCATCGCTATGTGCGAGCCAGTCGTAACCTGACCCTACCAACACAACTTTCATTATATGCACAACAGTTACTCAGCAAATGAGAATCAAGTTCGCGCTTAAATTTTGTCACAGCTTCTAAAAGGACCATCTCAAACCAACATTCTTCTGTGAGAAGACATTCTGTCCATCCTCTATATGAGCAAGTTTCACCTGCAGTTTAAAGGGCAGACCCGCTGATAGTCCGTTCGAGCCAATACACAGAAGTACGCAAACACTATTGCGCACTCTCGGCCTCTTCGCTTTATGCAACTTCCGTACAGCGTAAGAGCTCTCTGCCATGATTAATTGTCAGTATTTACCGCGCAAAGATTATATCTAAGTTTGGACAGTGAATACATTCGCCTTATTGAGTATAGTGAACACACTGCTATACTTTCATGCCAATTGTTGTGATGTAAGACAAAGGTCTGCGCGTAACAATAAAATATTAAACCAGTCTATTTTAAAAGTAGCTTAAAGTTGTAAACAAATGAAAACTATGATCCTCACTTTCTTCCCAAGCGCGTTGTTTTACTTCACTATGGAAATTCTGCCTCAATGACCGTGTCATAACAATAAACTCTGTGGGCCTTTCAAACTTTTGGCTTTGCGTGACATGCCGCCGAAAAAGGGAAAAGCTAATTTGACAGATGCGGAAAGAGCCGCTATTGCGCGGGCCCAAAAACGGGCGGAACTGGAGGCAAAGAGAAAAAAGGGAGAACTAGTGAAACAGTATTTGACTGTAATGAAATTTCCTATAGGCTAATTTGCATAGGTAAAACTTGAAAAAGAGCAAAAAGCCACCGTTGGAAACACCTTCCGACTAAATCATCGATGGAGAGCTTTGCTTAGAGAGGACAAAATAAAGGAACTTAAAGCAGATCTAGATATTTTGCGCCACACATTCGAAAGAATTGTTGACAGGTTCGCCAATTTCGGTTTTGAAAACCGGTCGGTATTGGTAGGAAGGATAACATCCTTAAAACGTTAAAACAAGAGTTAGACGAGTCAGAGGAGCAATATATGATGTCTCTAAGGAACCATCAATACAATATACACCTGTTAGTCGGTAGGTTGCATATCTGTCGTCGTTTTGTACATTAAAAATATCCTCAGTTATAATCGCTTTTTGAAAATTTTCGGTCAAGTTCGGGATTATGTCGCGAGCAAGATCAATTCCCTTCTTCTCCTAGCCATACTGTCGAGGTTCTGTTAGCTTATTCATTTCGACAACCCATAACGCTTTCATATTGTCAAATAAGTACTAATTTTGGAAGAGCCTTGATGTTCTAAAGGAATATTTAGCCTTGTATCAGACTTATTACGTATGCATTTTTGCTTCAACATCGTAGGTTTTTTCAACGTGCTACTGAAATTCCATCAGTGCCTTCTGATTAGCAGACAAGTAGATAATTAATTGTCTTATTCATCATGAAAATGTAAGTGTTATTTGTTTGTGTTGAGAATTACAACTCAAAATTGTAGTATTATAATAAATTTTTGTTAATGCAACTGTACCCAAGTTTCGATTGGGTCCATTTAGCGTTTCAGAAGAAAGTTATATATTGTTTCTCTTGAGAATTTTTTTCAAATAGATGACTAAGCGAAACTGAAAGAGAGTCCAGCAAAACATTAGTTAGTGATTCAGACTTCGATGCTGAAATGTCTGTGAGAGTTACTCAACTGCATGGATGAAGCAGCGAAAGTGAGTAGAGCTTGATACTAAAACTGGTTACCCTGATCTCTTAAAACCAAAACATATCTAATGTTTTGCAGAACATGAAGACTCTGAGTTTATATGTGGCATTATTACAACCAGTTATCTATAAAGTGTCTATTTTGCCAATAAATAATCTGATGAGACACGACTAGAGAGAGGAATACGCTTTATTTTAAAAGTAGTATCCAAAATTTCCGGCAGAAATGGCCCCACTCACTGATACCACGAGGTTAATTAATAAAATACTCAAAAATCTAAACGTTTTCATAAAAAAACACATCTGTTTTGGAGACAGGTTCAATCTAAACTCCCAGATTTCCGTTTCTTTCCGAGGTAGCACGCTAGAAATAACAGTAGAGCGTGCGAATATGCCTATGTACGGCCTCGGCGCATAGAACGAGAAGAATTCGCACCCATAAATTCAGAGTGGAGGGGATGGACTACCTCATCATGAATTCGATCAGCGAATTTGTTGACCGTTTTAAATTTTCACTGTGCTAAAAGCACAAGTAATCATATTCGCTTCCTGATGTGTATGAGAGGTATTTGGTTATGAAGCAAAATATTTGTACTTACGCTCCTCTGCATTATCCTGGACTACTCCAATAATAAAACTTGAATACCACGTCCATCACTACACAGTGGCTTATCTTCAAGAGTTACAAAAC